AAGGCATGGATGTTGAGATGGTGGAAAATTATGTATTTGAGATTATTGGATTTACAAAAATGGAAAGTTATCCATGGATTATATCATTTACAATACAATCAAACATCAATTCCAGTTTATGTGACATCTGGAATAGGAAGTCATTATGGACTTAGAGTGAATTGTCCACCAGAGATTGTTGTTATTGATTTAATTCCTCAGTGATGTTTTTTATGGTTTGTTTCATTTAAAATCATAAATCAATATAAAAAAGTAATATTATTTTCAATCTTCTGTTATTTTTGATTGAATATAGTGGTCAATTAGAAACTCAACTACTTCACAATATGATTTACATTGTGTATCCCTTCTAATCTTTTTCAATTCTTCTAGTGATTCTAATGAAATCCTGATTTTAGGAAACTTCTTATCCATTCTTTGTGATTTAACTATTCTCATTTTCTTATCTTTTGTCTTACTTATTTCATTACTTGGGTTCTGAATGAATGTATTTCCATCAAGTATAACAGAGACAGGTTCAAAGCATGTTAAGTTCATGTTTATAATAATAAGATTGTGATTAATCAAAAGTTATCGAAACAAGTGATTTTGAATAACCATTCTCACTTCCATTTCAATTGTATTTTTATAAATAGCTCATACCAATGAGAATCTGTGCCACTTTTCTCATATTTCCCCAAAAGTCTCGGGATGAGTTGTACCCAAAAGTAAAAACGAAGTGGTGTAGAGTATAAAATCTGCTTTGTTCTTACTTTTTATTATTTTAGAACAACTATAAGATACATTATTATTAACAAAAATTATTTCAAATAGTATAAGTTCACATCAAACAAAAAAAAATAATAAGACAATGAATAGCACTTTTTATTATAAACATAAAACCAATCACCCTTTTATATTGTTTTTATTAGAAATATTCTTTGTTTATCTATTACATTAATTAGAATTTAAATTTCTTTTTTCATTGTTTTATATTTCTTTTACAAATTCGTTTGGTATAGTATTTAAAGAATGGTAATGTTCTTGGTTATTTCTTTTTTATTAACCTAAATGAGTCATGCTTTACCGTTGAGTGTTTGTTGTTTTTGAAAATAGGAAAACAGAAGGTACAAATATTTTTTGTAAAATGATTTTATTAATTCATTCATTGCTTCTTGTTAATCATATTTTAAGGTTTATTTTTTTTAATTCTGATTATTTTTAATGGGGTCTGTTAAGTTCAAGTAAAGTTGTTAAAAGCCTCTGAAAATTTTTGTTGATGTTATTATGTTTCATCAACTGGCCTTACAGTCAATCAAAAAATCAAGGTCTGAGGTTTTTATTATTTGGCTTAATAATTGTGAGTAAGTTGGAAGTTATGTTGTTTGGTAAGGTGGAATTAAATACTACTTATAACACGTTTAAGTCTATTTATTTATTAAAGTTATTATTGTGGACTATAAACTTAATTTAAACCAAAATCTGTTAAATTTAAAGCATTAAGTTATAGCTTATTTCAATTGTTTTATATTGTTGTTCTTAATTAAATTAGTTTCTTTTAAGGTTTTTGATGTATTAAACTTGTTAATTTATTTGACTTATATTAATGCGTTATTTATCTGATTTTAATTATAATGTCATCAACTTTATTTATTTTAGCAACAACTTGTTTTAATAATATTTAAGTTTATCATTACCTTTGTACGGTTCTATAAAACTTAATCTTTGTATTTTTTTATTTCATAGATTATTCTTCTTATTTTATTGGTACAACACTCTTCTTTTTCTATTAATTGTAGTCCTGCACTTCTCATTTTACTCACTTCTTATTTTTGTTACCATTAGTGTTTTTATTCTAATTGTTTTTTTTTATTCTTGAATCAACACTATTTATTTTCAATTTCTTAATTAATTGAAACTATTCCTAAATTCTTTTAGAAGTTATTTGTTTCATGTGTTACAGTTATGCTATTTGTTTGTTCAGCAATTTATATTTTATACTTCTGTAAAATCTTATTCTAATCTTGATTACACTTTTTTGTCTGTTATTTTTAACAGTACAATCCTTTTTTATTGTGAGGGTGAACATACTTCTTATTAAATAAGCAAACAAAACTCTTGATGAATGAGTTATTGTGGAATACTTTATATTTTGTTTCCCATTTATAAATAAATACTTTTGGTTAACTATGAATTAATCTGGTAGTAGCCAAATAGGTCTTTATTCAGAACTTCTTATATAGTTGTGTTTAAGTTTCCCTATGACTGATATTTTTATAGGAAAGTATTTTCTCATACTTATTTTGACAAATATATTTAATGAATTAAATTAAATTTTTTAACAACTTTCTTATTCGTTTGAAACTTTGTTCATATGAAAATAACATTCAACAATAATCTTGATTCTAAGTATTTATACTCTCTTTATTTAATCAATATACAAACAAGGAAAATTGAATTTAAAGAGTATTAAATTAAACTGAAAGTGGAATTATTATGGTCAACGAAACAAAACATATCATTAATAATACACCAGAGACTGCCCCTATCACTCGTGTAGTTCTTTGACTTGATTTTTGAGAAAGTATAAAAGAAGGAATCCAGAAAGGAAAAAAGCAGAATCCTAAAAGGAAAAATATTAATGTTAATCGCCACCAACGTTGTTCAAAATCAGGTGAAGAGAATGGTTCAATAGAAACTTGTTGTTCGTATTTTGGTTCTGAAGTAGTAAGTGTTTGGTTATAAGGTGAAAAGGATAATGGGGGTTGTTGGTAATATTGAGGTTGTTGGTAATATTGAGGTTGTTGATAAGTGACATAGTTCAGGGGTTGTGTTGTAACATTCGAATAATAATAAGACGGGTTTGAATTATTAATTATTCCTCCTTCTGGTTGGGTTTGTCCTTTTATTTGAATATTTGAATAAGTGGGTTGAGAGTTAGTTGTATCAGGAGGAGGTAGAGTTGAGCTCATTTAATAAAGAAAAGATTATTAATAGTTTTTAAGTTCCAGCCAAAAGGAAAACTCAAAAAACAAAGTAAAAATATAATTAATTTTGAAAAGAATAATTCTTTGTTGAATACTTTTTTGATAAAAAAATAATGTTCATGTTTTGTTTTTGATTTTATAAATTAATTACATTAATTTAACTTATTGATTTTAATTGTATAAAAAAACTTTAAAATTAATAATAGTAGAAAATCTATATAAACAAAAATAGAAGAAGTATAAATAATTAATAATAATAAAATAAGGTAATATAATAATAATATAAAGTAATTTAATTTTGTTTTTTTTTGATAAAATAATAATAAAAATAATATGAAATATTTTATTAAGAATAAATGATAATGACTAAACTATATTATTGTTTGAACATCATCACAATCATCGTTCAAATAAAAAATTATAATTCTTTTGTTATTTAATATTGATTTATTTGTTCAATAATTTTATAATAACGAAATGAAGATGTAATGACTTTTTATTCTATTCTTTAAATTATATCAGAATGGTAATACTTATAATACTTCAAATTCGGTTGTTAATCTAACTTTTTTACTATTGATTCTGTCATAAGTATTATATAACTATGTAATAATGAGTTTAAGAAACTTATAATTGGTTTAAAATTATCATGAGAATTAATCATTTTACTAGAAAACCTTTTCAAAGATCAAATATATGAAACATTATTTACTTTCTTTGAGAAAACAAAATCATATTTATACAAATGATGGATATGTACAATATAATGATTATATAAATGACTTGATACTTCAAAATTTAATTATTTTATTTTAACTCTCCATTACAATTTCTACAATATTTAAACTATACACTCATATCTGTTATAAGAAGAATGAACAAAATTTTAATGAAAGAGTTTTGAATCAATTGGTGTTTAAATTTATAATTATGTTAAAGAAATAGATGGGCAAAGAAGTTTATTTTTATAAATATACATAAATACTAAAATTAAATAAAGTATTTTTATAATCATTTTAATACTTTTTTCAATTACTTAAAACAATTTAGGAAGAAATACTATTATGTTAGACAATAAATAATTTATCAACATATGTCTTTTATGAAGAACACATACTTCGAAGATTACTAAAACATGAAATTAACAACTTCTCTATAAAAAAAAGGAAAAGAGTGATTATTAAGATTTAATTAATTATGATGAATAAATAAGAGTTTAAATAACAATATTAAATAACAAATTCAATTACAGGCACGATTTATTTTCCCTTAAAGAATAATCTCTTCATTACCAACGAAATCTGTTTGTACTTCTTCTTTTGAAATATCACTTTTTGGAACTGAATTTGATTGAAGGGATTTGTTTGGTTCTTGTAAAGTAGCAGAAACTAATGGCCTTGAAGAAAAATCAAAAGATTTTCTTGAGAGAGAACTTGGCTCATTATCTTCTATAGGAATTTCAGAATTCACTAATTTGTACTCAACATTATTTAGAGAGTAAGTTCCAAAGTTCAAAGCATAAAGTCCAATTAGAAGTATTTCTGAAGAGAGTGTAGTAGCTAATTTAAATGAGACAGGTGGAACAAGAGAAAAATAATAATAATTATATGTTGTGAATACAAGAATAATACCAACAGGGATACTGAATAATAAGTGGACAGCAAATTGTTTGAAGCTATGGTTATTACGAAGAATACAATAACTATGATATCCACACAAGACGATATAAAGAATATTGGTAAATGATAATGCAGAAATTAAAACATATGCCTCAGTAGGTTGGTCAAGTTTTGTACAATTTTTAATATTACCTGAACCATTATACATTAATAAAGAAATCATACAACAAAATTGACCTATTCCTACACCTATTCCTAATAAAATAGAACCTTTATTTAGACTATTCTTAGAACTCATACAAATTAATGTAATCAAATAATAAAGGAATAATACAAATATAAATAAACTCTCTAACGCTTGTAATGTCCAAAGAACATAAACACCACTATAAAGATAAATAAATGGATATGTTGCATCATATAAAATAGTAAAGAAAAGAAGAACTAATAAATATGAATGTTCAAAATACCATGATTTCATTGATGTTTTTCTCCAAATTACTAATAAGACAACTATTCCAATACTATTTAATATTAATGAAATTAAATGAACACTATTCATAATAATAACCCAAAGATAAGACTGATATTCAGCAATAATTTTAATATCTTTAATTATATCTTTACTTTGAATATTACCTTTAATAATAAAATCCTTTTCACGAATTGGAGTTATAGAAGCTACTAATATTTTCTCACAAATATCATTAATACATTTAACATTAAAATCATTTCTTTTTTCCATAAAAACTGTATTATCCAGAAAATAAACAGAACTATCAATATGAATAGGTTCTATAATATTAATAATTAGATCTAATCAAAATAAAAATGAAAGAATAACAAACCTAATGTAATATTTAAAATATTTGGAATAATATAAATATCTAAGAACGAATGAAACGGAAGTAAGTCATTAATTTTTAATGTAATTTCAGCTTTGTCTGTTGGTTGAAAAGATTTTAAAGGAATTAATATTTGTTTTGTCGGATTAATTATAACTGAAATAAAAGTAAGAATAACAGAAATACAAATAATAATAGCTATAATACATGAAACTACTTTTCTTTTTTCATATAAAATTGAATGTGAATTATTGTCGTTCATCATTTGATATTGATTAAATTATTTTGAGTTCATGTAAATAATTACTCTTTTGTTTTATTCGCCGATTCCCTTATTTTATTTTCATTTTTTCATTTTTGGTTAATTTGTTTTATTGATATATTCATTTCTTGAAGAATTTGAGTAAATCTTGTCGTTTATTAATTATTCAACTGAAAAAATGACAAATAAATTCTTCTTAATCAAACTATTTTTTTAATAAATCTTAAAATTAAATAAACTAAATAATCACTAAAGTTTTTTTATTTTCTTTTATCATATATTAACTAATAATTTATCATTATTTATTTTTTTAATTTGATTTAAATGAATAGATTAATATAATTATTTATAAAAAATTATAAATCCTTTATAAAATAAATATCACTAACTTTTATAATCCCACAAAAAATACATAGATTGTGACATAAAACATTTCATAAATTAAATAATCTCATTGCTTTAATAATAAAAACTATTAAAAATAATTTTTAGTCTTTGAGGAATTTAACAACAAATTTAAAAATCTAATTAATAACTATGAAACTTAATAACACTAGCAAATTTAGTTCAAATCCTTCTAAATATTATCTGTTAATATCAATACTTAACTTTTTAAAGTAACAAAATCTACATTATAATAATCTTTTTAGATATTTATATGATTTGAGTTGTGAATAAACTAAGTTATAAAAGTATATCTTTTACTTATGAACTAAAGTGTCTT